TCTTCCTTTAAAAACAAAAACAAACTTCTAGACCATTCTCAGGGATGGTGAGTCAGAAGGTGATATGAAGGTGTTAGGTCAGCATTAGTACAGCAGCAATGCAACTGAGTCAACCTTGAGCACCAGGGACAGGAGGAAGCATGGAAAAATCCCAGTGCAAGCAATGGAGGTGGGTGGTGGGGTTGGTGGAGAGATCAGGGTAGCTAGGTCCATTTCCAGGAAGAGGATAAAGGGGTATGACCTTTGGGGAGAGTCCACCATGGGAGAGGAAGCTTAGCTAGGTGGATTTTTTWAAATCACATTTAATAATTTTTGCTTCTTTAAAAAGCAAAGATATAATTGACATACAGTTACTTGTATCTTTTAAATTTTTACTTATTTATTTATTCATTTATTTTGTGGTTCTGGGGTTTGAACCTATGACCTGGTATGTAGGCAAGCAATCTACTACTGAGCTACATTCCTAGGCCTAACAGTGGCATTTTATTTTATTTTTTTAATATCTATTTATTTTTTTAGGTGTAGATGAACACAACACAATGCCTTTATTTTTATGTGATGCTGAGAATCGAACCCAGTTCCTGCTCGTGCTAGGCGAGCGCTCCACCGCTGAGCCACAATCCCAGCCCCTAACAGTAGCATTTTAAACTACATAGTTTAATCAGGCTTTTTTTTAAATATAAAAATACTCTACTATTTCTTCTTTTTTATATTTTTAAAAATTTTAATCCACGTATTATAATTTTAAGTATGTGATGTTTCAGTATATGTATACAATGTGTAATGATAAAATCAGAGTAATGGATATATCCATAATCTCAAATATTTAACAGTTCTTTGGGCTAGTAGTATTCAAAATTCTCTCTACTAGCTATTTTGAAATATATAATTAAAGATTGTCAACCTCACCAAAAACTGGCTATATTTTTACTACTTGATAATATTTAAGCTTTGAAATCTTAGGATGATAATTATGATCTTTGAGTATCTTGAGAATCAAACAGGTTAAACGGGATCACTGTCTTAATTCACTTTGTATTGTTAAAACAGAATGCCTGAGACTGGATACTCATTAAAGAACAGATATAGCTGGGCACAGTGGCACATGCCTGTAATCCCAGTGGCTCCGGAGGATGAGGCAAGAGGATCTCAAGTTGAAAGCCAGCCTCAGCCATTGGAGAAGATAATGCTAAGTGAAGTTAGCCAATCCCAAAAAAACAAATGCCAAATGTTTTTTTCTGATATGAGGAGGCTGACTCAT